GACCAGCAGAGGCTGATCTTTGCTGGCAAGCAGCTGGAAGACGGCCGTACCCTCTCTGACTACAACATCCAGAAGGAGTCAACTCTGCACCTTGTCCTGCGCCTCAGGGGTGGTAACTAAACCAGCAGGTTGCTGCTTCCAAATAAAAGGTTCCCTGCACTTGTTCATTCCAATAAAGCTGTTGCATCTCTAAAAGTTTGTGTGCCAAGTTACATGAACAGCCATTCATAATATTGCCCAAACCCAGGTGTCTAACAAACAATAATTATGTAATTTTCTGCAGACAAAGGAGTCGCAAAGCTGCCTTATGCAAGGCTTACACATTCCTGGTGATTGTAGCTAATCCCTCAGCTGTGGTTTCCCTGGCCTTGTATAAGTGTTCTGGTACCTGGCTGCAGCTCAGTGCCTGCCTGCAGGTGTTGTATAAGCAGGGATATGCAGCGGGAAGCTGTAGATGCTTCCGAGTCAAAAGGCTTTGAGATAACTCTTGGTTGCCCAGCAATTCCCTTTATTTTGGGATTAGTGGGGGAAGAGCAGAAGGGTGATCTGCAGCTGCTTCACAGGCTGGGGAACTGGATGTCACTGCTGGTCCTGCAGCCCTTGGGCTTGGGAAGTGTAGCTCATCAGTTACAGGGTGGACTTGTTGTTTTGTCAGGCTTTGTGGCATTAAGCAAGCAGTAGTTTCAGATGGACTTGCTGGAAATCTGAATGTGCTTTGTTCCAGCTGTGCCCTGAACGGAAATGCTACTGAGCTGAGCTGTCTCAGAGCAGTTCCTGTATGCTGCAGAAGCCCTGGCAAAAGGGAAGTTGCCTCTGAAATACATGTGGAGCTTGCTGGCGGGGATGATGAGCAGTTAACCGTGGCTGTGCTGGTGTGTGGAGAGGGAAAAGGGAGAGTGACACAGAAATGCCCTTGGCAGGAGTGGTGGCATGGACTCGCCTGTGGAAGGGGATGGGTGGGGGCTGAATGAGGGTCTCGGCTGGAGAAGCCTCAGGGGGACCCGAAGGGAGCTCACTGCCTGGTGGGATAGCAGCGTGTGGCTCCAGTTATATCAGAGTAGGGTGAAAGTGAAGCACCAAGATCTGTGCTGTGCTGGAGAAAGCATTTGGATGCTAAGGAGCTGAACCCCGTGTGGGTGGGAGCCGGTGCTGTGCCATGCTGGACATCCTATCCTCCCCCACAGGAGTGCCCCAGGCTCTGCCCACGCTCCTGAGCTGAACCCCAACAACTGCAGTGAGCACCGGGCAGCTGCGTGGGCTTGCTGTCCTCTGGGGAAATCGGAATTCACAAACTCAGCATCTCCTCTGCTGGGCTCCTTAAACAGTGCAGGGCAGGCTGTCACTGGAATGCAGGGAGCATAACTGCATGTAGCTCTGTGTGAAGGCATCCTCTGGGGAAATCGGAGTTCACGACCTCAGCATCCCCTCTGCAGAGCTCCTTAAACAGAGGTGTCTGATCAGTGCAGGTCAGGCTGACACCGGAGTGCAGGGAACATAACTGCACGTGGCTCTGCTTTGAAGGCAGCCTGACATCCATCAGGGGACAGCTGCAGGAGGACACGGCGTGTTTGGTGAATGTCAAAAGCCTGCATGAATGGCTACAGAGCTGTGCTTTAAGAAATCCTTTTATTTCCAACGTCTCAGTAAAAAACCTTTGCAGTGGCCTGTTCAAAACCACGATGCTGTACAAATCTGTAATGGCCTGGAGCAGGCAGAGCAGGAAGCCTGGAGGAGAAACACGTGCTGTGGTCTCATGAGCTGGGTCAGCCTTGCCTCTGCTGACCACAGAGGGAAGGGCTTGAAGTTGCTGACCACAAAGGGAACGGCGTGAAATTGTGTCAGGAGGGTTAGAATTGGTGTTAGGCAGTTCTTCCCACTGAGGGTGGGCTGAGCAGGCATCCTGGGGCTGGCCACAGCACCTGCCACACTTCAGGATGAGTTTGGACAACACTCTCAGGCACATGGTGGGACTTTGGAGCTGTTCTGTGCAGGTTTTTGACTTGATCCTAGTGGGAACCTTCCATCCCAGGACATTCCATGGTTCTGTGACCCCCGCAGGTCGCTTTGCTGGGTTGGAGGAACCTCAAGGCTCAGTGTGGCAGTGGCAGCGCTTCAGAGGTGGCACCTGTGAGCAGAGACTACAGCTGGGGTGGGATCAACCACCCAACAGCCAAAGTTTTTGAGAACACCAAAGCATGTCATAAACTTCAAGGCTGTGTTTTGTTCTAACAAATTCAGAAC